TATATATATATAGGATGTAGCTCTATAAATACTTACATTAATCACCTATTATATGCAAGACTTTGTTCTGTGTACCTAAAATATATAAGTAGGTGAAACTAATTTTCTACAATTATGGAGCCTAATTCTAACAGACTAACAATCAAAGGAACTTAATAGTTCCTTTACCCTGGCTTATAAAAGTCCCAGAGTCAGTGACAATAACTAATGAAGCCATTATAATAACAGAGCTAAAGGTTGACATTCCTCTACCACTCCTTTAATATAGTTTTATGTTAATAAAACCTTCAAAATTTCATTAATATTACTACTACTCTGATTCCTCTTTTCAGGAGAAATTTGATTTTGCTTAAGACAATTTATATTTTATTTTACTACATATTATAAGACTGTTTCATCTTAAATCCAACCTAAGTTTCACAGAAATTTTTTTCAGGATTAAATTTCCTGACACCTGTCTTAATTTGGACATATATGTGTTTTGCATATTTATGATGGCATGCAACCTGGGCAACAATACAAATAGCATATCTAAATGCTATCAGTCTTGCTTTGGGTATCTGTAGTACAGTGATTAAAAAAAATCAGAATATTCACTGTTTAAGCAGTTGCAAAAAAAAATTAACTGGAAAATGTAAATGATGCAACGTTTGACATATGATTGCCTACAACATTTCATCTTTGCGATTATTGATTTTTGGCCATGCTAACTATTCATTTTTTGCCACATTCTCTTAAGTTCCTTTTCTAAATTTCGGTTAATTAAACATCTGGAAATAATATTCCTAATTCAGTTTCCTGCAGAAATTCTTTTTACCAAATCCCAGCATATTTCTAGGCATTCTGTTTTATTTTGAAGTATAAAGCTAATAAGAGAATTTCATATTGAAAAAAATTGAGTGTTACACATTTGTTGTTGAAGACATTAGCATTTAGATAAGAGTTCACATAATAAATTCCACTTTCAATTGTGACTGAAAGAAGTTTGTCCATTCATATAAACATATTTACTTTATTTCATCAGCCAGAGAAAATTTACAATGAAATATGTTTCCATTTAAACAATAGTTGCCAGGAATTGCAGCATTAATTCTGTTTAACGTAGTAACTACCAGAATTCAGGTTATAGGTTTCACTATCACACATTCCTTTTATTGCTTTACTTTGTTTAATTTTCTTTTTAAAAAGTTTTAATGAGGTCCTCCCTGGTGGCGCAACAGGTTAAAGCACAGCACTAAGAAGCCAAAGCCACTTCCACATGAGTTCGATCCCCGCTTGTCCTGGAGGTGACCACATGGCGTGGCAGACCTCTCCTGACCCGCCCGCTGCTCCCCTCAGCAGTGTATTTCGTCAATCTGCCTGTTCTGCTCCCCACTCTGTCTCTGGTGAAGCCTATCACTGCCCCTGAGCCTCTGGCCTGTACCCCAGTTCTGCATACAAAAAAAAAAGTTTTAATGAGGCATGATTGGCATAAAATAAGCATTTAAAATTTTAAATTATAAATTTTGTTACATATATACTTATGAGACTATCACCACAAATAGAATAAAAAGTATATCCATTATCCCTAGAAGTTCCCTTATTCATTTTACACATCTACATTCTTCTGCCACTCATTTTTGATTATACATTTGGTGTCATATTTAAGCAATCTATATTAGTAATCCTTTAGCTTTGGATCCATAACTTCCTCAAAGGTACTATTTTTTTTTTCCATAGGTGGATACTAAATTTTTGTTTTGCTGTGGAATCCTATGAGGGATGTCTTCAATCATAGAGGTTATGTCACTAAAGTAAGTACTTTTATAGTCATTACTATTGGTGTGGTAACCAAACATTTCCTTCTGTGTATAGTTCCAGGAGGAAACACATCTGGTGAAGAAAAATAAAGCAGAATAAGAATTTAAGAAATATAGACAGTCCTACTATGTATAAGGATGCATAATTTACAAAATGTTAATTAAGCAAGATGTAGAAGATGAGATTGAGGGGTTCAAGTGGTTATACTGGAAGAAAGCAAAGAGAAGTTATCCTTCCGTTAAAAAAAATTAATTAATAAGGTAGTCAAAGTTGGCCATTTGTCATCTACCAGAAAACCTATTTCATGTGTTTATATATTACATGTCAAGGAACTGATAAGGCCAATGATTGTGAACAGTCATAGGTGAAGTACTGAGGAAGATTTGGAGGAGAATGTTAAATCATGTTATTTGGATGTTGAAAGGGTCACTGAGGTTTAGACTGTTGAATCTAGATTAGTAGAGGGTAAAGTCAAAGTAGGATGACAAATTTATAAGCTCATAAAACAAAATTCTTTGGACTATGGACCATGCAGGTGCTGCAGATATGTGAAGTAACTGGCTTCTGTATGTATGTAAGAAGGACTGTCAAATAGTATTTTTGGACAGTTTTAAATGAATGTCAGAGAAAGAAGGTTGCTCCAGTGGCTGCTTGTAAGCACACTGAAGAATAAAAGTACAATTTACTAATATGGGGAAAATGCAGGAGGCCAATGTTTCGTTTAGGTGTGGAAATGTGAGATAAGATGATTCTGTTTTAGATTACTTTGAGACATTTTGTAGGCATCCACATAGATATCTCAAGAAGGCACCTGGGTATATGTGTAGTACTAGGGACTACATTTAGCTGAGGCATGACTCATGGGTATATACATAGCACTGAAACTCATAAAATTGGATGAAGACATCTAGGAAATGAACATACAATAAACTATAGCAGCACCACCAACAGTAAACATATCTGGGATTGAACGAATGTGACAGGGGACAGATTATACTAAATAAAATAAGTAAAAATAAAATACAATGTCAGAATAATAATCATGACATAATGCTGTGAAATAGCCAGTTGGAGTTGCAGATCCTGATGCAGACTCTAAAAGTGAACTGAGTATATATTAGCTGCATGTGAATGTTAAATGGGGCTCAAAGTAGCATCAACTGGAACTGGGGCACCTGTATAAAGCTAAGTTATTCTAAAAAGGCTGCCTCTGTGAAAGGGGAACTAGAAAAAAATCTGTTAATGTTTCTGACAATACAGCAAGATTATATACCATCTGCCTAATCTCTTGATTGGGGAAAAATCACCCAGGAACAACAAAATTCCAGACTCTTACCATATGGAAAGATTAAGGCTGAATTAACACTTTCTTCAAGTATCTCAATTCAAAGCCCAGAAAATTATTAAAATTGTCCATTACTCTAGAAAACTATTTCAGAAAGAATTAAAAAATATCTACATTTAAAGGACAATTAAATCAGAGTACATGAATACCCTTCATGCCAGTAATGAAGGTAGAGTTATTATCTTCGAATCTCCTGCAAGAACAAGGGGAGGTTTGTTTGTAGTGCTGGAAGACAGAGATGGTATCTCTGGAGCAGAGGATAAACATTATTTATTGCAAAAGGTTAGTGTCCTCCCAAATCAGTGTTCCTTTCCTGAAAAGCAGCCCACGGTGTCAACACATGTCATCAAGTCTTTATATATTGTCTTGTGTAAGTTAGGTATTGGAGACCCAGTGCAAAAAAATTGATACTCTTGACTACTGATACCAGTAAGTGGTAAAAGACTTTGTCTCTGATTTTAGAATCTCATATCTTAATCTAATATATAAAAACTATGGAAGGCTAACTTGTTGAAAGAAGAGTAAGACTTCATACTCCTCACAGTAATTGATGCTATTCTCTCTCATTTTTAAATATATTCATGAGCTGTTCCTTTTGTTTGTAATGTCTTGTCAGCTCACATCCTCTGGATCTACATTTCTAGAAGTTAACTTCCTTTTACTTTTCAAAATCTACCTTAAGTAAGATTTCCTTGAGAAACAAATCAAAGTCTGTCACCATTTTAACTGGCCTTCTTTATGCTCTTTTACTTCCCCACAGCTAAATATTAGTTTACTTTTCTTTTTATTTCTATAAAAAATATTTTCATTTGTTTTTCAAGGATAACTTAAATTTGCTTTTTCTTAGTATCTGGAATTACATCCATGTGGCCTAGCACATGGGTCAATACAAAGATTTTTTTTTATAAATTAGTTAATAAAAATTCTGAACCTATATTATAGTGACCTAAAGATTTCCTCAATTTTTCTCTCACATTCACTAAAAAGAGTTATGAGCTGTTTATTACAAAGAGCCAAGTCACAGATTAAAAGGGAGATAGATTGTTTGAATAAAAACTTTATAAATAAGAGAGAGTTTGACTTCTTGCCATAATATAGGTTTGTTATCCATTTGCCTTGGAGAAATATGTTAACAAGGATACAGTTATCACTGTACGTGGTTCCATTTTTTTGTCAGAAATATAAAGAATTCTTACTGAAGTTTTAGAAAAGTTGTTTAGTAAAGATTATTGCATTTCCCTGAGCAAGCAACTAAAAGTCATGACACCAGCAGCTATTGGTTGTATTTAATGTATTTATATATGTTTATTATAGTTTATTACATGAAGCCTCTCCATGGTTCAGAAGCATGTGCACCATTTTATAAATCTACTTTAATGGAAAATGCTCTTTTATTATTCTTTCTCCAGGAAATATAGTGCTCTCTATTAGCCAGCATGTAGCAGTCTCTCCTCATAGATTCTCTTTAAATTTGGTTTAGATTTCATGATTCTTAGCTCCATCCAAAGTATGTCTATTCTCATACAGGTTACTGCCATTGTACAATATTGAATTGAAAAAAAAAAAAAATATATATATATATATATATGTGGTTCCCTTAATTATCCAACTCAAAATGGGTGAAAATATCCATAACATAGCTAAAGCTTTCATCTAATTCTAATAATTCAATAAAAACTAATACTAAATTTAAAAATAGAAAAAAATGCTAATTAAAGAGTAGAGGCTTACTCATAGAACACACTGTCTTGATCCTTTCCTGAGGGTCCTCTTATTTCTGCCCCTTCCCTTTATATTACTGTAAGAGTAGTGATTTTTTTTGCCCTAGCAACCAAGTCTCAGTGTTCAGCTTTCAGAAACACTAACTAGAGCATTTAATCAGAGGCCTAGTTCAACTTTGTTGTGATCAATAATTTCATTGTGTAATATTTTTATACATTGGATAAAATTTATGCTCTTTTATTGCAACTAATGATAAATTAAGCACTGTATATATATAACTGTGCACATACCAGTCTACATATGTAGAAAGATGACCTCTCAAAAAAGTTTTCAAAAGTTCAATTTTGAGATACACACACACACTGCTTTTGAAATAATCACAGAGATGAATTTTCTTCTTTAAAGGTACCAGTCTGTATCATTCCTTATGCTCGGGTTCATTTATTTACTTCCGTGGTTCCTTGGATCTTGAGTTGTGATCTCTGCTTTCTAACATTGGACATCTTTTTATTCATGTCCAATTTCTGAAATTCCCATTAAAATTTTAAAAAAGTATAAAGACCCAATTACTTAGTTGCAGGTACATATTTGAAAATGATATGGTCCAGATATATTTGATCAGCCCTATAGTTCTTTCCTTCCTCTAACATCTTTCTAGTTAGGACCCTTGACTTTTCTGCTGTGAGCTTCTGTCCAAGCATAACACTCTTCCTGTTTGTGAGAAAAAACCTGTTATGAGTAGTATTTAAACTATTTTTTAATTATATAGTATTTCTTTACTATCTTAATACAGTTAACAGGTAAGTCCTTGGATCTCTAGACTAAGAACAATTGACTAGAAACCTCTGTAGCTGTAGGATGGTGCTTGGAATTGGGGCAAGTTACATTACCTATTTCTTCTTCAATTTTAGTATAAAATAGAGCCAATAGGATTTTTTTTTAAAGATTTATTTATTTGTGCATACAGAACTGGGGTACAGGCCAGAGGCTCAGGGGGCAGTGAGAGGATTCACCAGAGACAGAGTGTGGAGCAGAACAGGCAGATTAACAAACTACATGCTCTGGGGAGCAGCGGGCGGGTCAGGAGAGGTCTTCCTCACCATGTGGATCTCCTCCGGGGCGGGCCGGAATCGGAATCGAACTCATGCGGAAGTGGCTTTAGCTTTTTAGTGCTGTGCTTTAACCTGCTGCACCACCAGGGAGGGCCACCAAAAGGATTTTTTATCTCAAATGTTTTTCTAAATGGATTAAGTGATAATATGACTTATAACAAACTGGCATAATATTAACATTCAGTAAAGTGGCCGCCTTACGATTTTTTTTGGTATGATGAAAATTTCATAGGTAGGAACCCCAAAGATATTTTTGATGACTCCAATGATGGCTTAAGGTACAATAATCTCTATGTTTACCAATAAGAGAAAGAGGCATATGTTGTGCATATGAGGGTTTTTGAATACTATCAAGAACAGATTTGGTTACTTAGAGCTTTTTTTTTTTTTTTTTAATGCATGCAGCTGTGGCTTGAGGATTTTTACACAATATATAATAATTAGGACTTTCTTCCACTTTCATTTACTTCAAATGAGAAACACTAATTGATGGATTTCCCTTTGTGTACAAAAAGAAAGTCTCTCAGATACTGCACACATTTAATGTGGCTTCAAAATTAAAGTAGAAAAAATAAATATTTTAACTTCCAGATAGATACCACAAATATTTATCTTAGTGAACAAAACCTTATAAAATTAGATGTCTTATTATCTTGGCAGTAAGCATTAGCAAACATTTTACATTCCACTAGAATTGACTGTCTTTCTATATTAAAATTGTGTTGGGTCCTAAACTCCTTTCTCCTAAGAATTTCAACTAACCCATAAGACTATGAGTTTTCATTGAATTCCTGCAAAACATTAAATAACTACA